CGCTTTGCTTTCTCCGTCGGGTATAAATGTCGGCGTGGGCGTGTATTTGGGGGTCAACTGAGGCCAGAGAAAGTCGACGAGAGGTGTGGTCACTGGGATGAGGATGTACTAGGTCGTACTTGTAGACTTGATGAGACTAAGGTAGGAATCGATCTCGTTTGGAGTGAAAATTCGACGTGGTGGAGTAGTTCGAATGATTGTCTCGTGGGCCAACTTCTTAGGTATCGCGAAATTTTACTGAACTTGGCTCTGGGATAATATTTCACTCCTAAGTTCGTAGAGGACACCGCGTACAGTTGTTGGGTCTTGTACACCGTGATAGGGGATTTTTTCTCAGGGAAGGAGAAGATACGGACCGTGAATGTGATCTGGAATCCCCATCGAAGTAAAGGCGTTGTAACTCAATCTCGGCTCCGCAAACTCAATAGTCAGAGCTGTAAGACTGTAAAAGAAGCCACGTACAGGTGTTGATAATTGCCATGCCTTGAGTTCCTGTAGGAGTGCGATTGGTATCATTTTGCATAGCATGTTATTGAACAAACAACCAAATGCACAATTCAAAAAGTTCGAAAGTTCCCTTTTTTTCCTCTTTCCACCCCTCTCGATCTCGTCGCATCCAGTCTTGAACTGTGATTGAGCTTGAGGCATTTTCATCATGCCTCCTGTTCGCAAAAAGCGCCTCAACGCCACGTTGGACAACACGAGAGTCCGCCCCAGGGCTCTCGCACAAACGCCAGGCCTTGCCCAGTCACCAAAATGCGTGGAGATGAGCAAGGTCTCAATTAAAGGGAAGGAAAAAGCCCTCCCAGCCGTCGCTGAGCCTGATACTGACATGATCGGGTCAGTTAAAATTGCTGAGGAATTTCCTAAATCATCCTCCGTCCCCTACGGGATTGGGAAATCATCCAAACCTCCTCCAACATCTTCAAAACAGTCAGAGAACGCTGCAGCCAAAGCAGCGCCAAAATCTACGTCGCAGCCTCAAGATGCCACGAAAGCAGACTGCCCGCCGGAGCTTCTATCGATCGTCGAAGCCGAACAACGATGCGCCGCCGAAACAGCGGCAAATCTGGCCCTCTGTTCCGCCGCCATCTCTGGCGTCAAAACTAGCCTCCTCCTTTTGACCAACGGGTCAAATAGACTATTCGTAGACTCGATGAGAGTCTATCTATGCGCCACCATAGCGCAATACATGGCTACGGGCCAGGCCTCCACGCCCCCCGTGCTCCCTCCTCGCCAGGTGCCCAATCATACACGCCGTACTAATGCTGCTTGTAAAAAGCACCTGGGCCAAGGTAGCCAAAAATGGAGTGTGGCAAAAAACAGTCCCTACAACAAAGGCTGTGCCGCGGATTGCGGCAAAATCCCAACATAAAGAAGCTCCTATGGCCAGAGTCGACGAACGACTCTTCGTTCGCCTCGGTAACGACCAGCCGTGGCGCAAGGTCTAACCCTACGCTGCATGGCTGAAAATCAGAAAGAGCTGGGTTGCGCTATAAGTGTCAAAGGCTACGTCAACACGATGAAGCAAGGGTAAAAGTCCGAATACTGTCTATTTTTTATATACAAGAAAAAATAACTAATCCTAGGGAAAAGGTCATGTTATATCTCCTAATCATAGTTGACGCCAGCTCTATCCACCATGTCAGAGCCGGCTTTGCTGTTCTGATAAGGAAAAGGCTCCCAGATGCCGCACCGAAAATGTCGAATTTCAAGGCTAAGCTCGAAGGAGCCTCCAACCTTGTCGCTTATCGGATCGCGAATGTTCCCGCGACTACAAGAACACTCGACGGTACTCGTGCGGTCGATGCTGAGTGTAACTCAACCGAGATTTACTTTAACCCCTCAAAGAAGCCAACCTGGGTGCGCCATATAGAAAATGACATGCCCGTTTCGCGCGTGATTCCGCCTGTTCGACGAGCCTATTATTGCTACCATTCGTAAGTCTTGTTGAAAAATCGAACAGTGCAAACGCTGTTTAGGCTTTCGTGCCACTTGTTGTTGCTACAGCCTGCTGGAACGCGAATGCAAGTCCCTCGCCTAATGTCGCAACTTTGGAGGAACTCACCGACCGGATTTTCGGAACTGTCTTGCTAGACCCAGAAAGGCCGGATGAGTAGAGAAAGAGCCACCCGCAACGATTCGCGAGGTCGAGCAGTCGAGGTTCTCGTTAATGGCCCACGTGATAGCTGCAGTCAGAAGAGCGGAAGAAGATTCTAACGCATCTATAAAGAATATACCATGGCTGAGGGATCGGGCTTCGGGGTTCTGGGGTCCGAAAAAGAAGCACGATGATATGGCGGCCCTCACTGAAATCTACGAAGACTTCCACAGTACATATCATATAATTTTATGATGTGAACTCTATCAGCCAATCATATAAGCTTCGGTAGATGATACACAGACCTATGCAAGACACTGTTAGTGTCATGATATCACGGATAGTTGTATGGGGATGAGATAGAGAAGAATGTGGAAGATTCTATATCACATGATATAACATTCTACTATTAGATTGATAGATGAGCTATGTGTATAAATAGGAGTGTTCTTCCTCATGTGCATATTAATGACAGATACAACGAAGAACAGCAGCTCTACAGACAGATTTATCTTTATACTACAAACAAAATCTCTTAAGTCTTAGTTATTTACCTTACAAGGTAAGTACTCTCTCCACTATAGGACCGCTCAAACACAATATATAACCAATTTACAATGGGATGTACATGCGAACTTATGTATCGCTTTCAGCGGAGATTGGGGAAAGACGCTTGGAAGTGGTGACTAGAAAACGAACGGGCGAGAAGCATTGAGTCTGGACGAAAAAGGAAAATCTTCCGATATTGACTTCCGTGTTTGATTCAAGTTTTGTTGTTGTATTCTGCACTTGTTGTGGAAGTTCACGCGGTTGGAATGAGTTGGACCTGTACGCAGAGATTCTCGCCGGCTCCACTGGTCTTGGTCCCAAAGTAGACAATGAGCTTTAGCTTAGGACCTAATCTAATATTAAAAAAAATACAGAAGTCATCCGTCTCTCATAATGTCATTCCCAAATTCGTGACTCATGACCTATCATATTTAGTCATTATTTAGCAGACAAGACGTGGACTATCGATAAGTCATTAGGTCATTCGACAATGAGTATCCACTTTTTAATCCTCCCCACATATACCGGACTGTTCATTATCAGGATGGCGTCCAAGATTTATATTTACGTTCGGATAATTTTTATTTTCTCTTGTATGAGCAGGTGTATGTATACATAACATTCAGCCCCATTTTCGATAATATACTCCCAACTAGAATTGTTAAGATTCGTCCTATTTACACCTTGCGCACACTACTTCCCAGTCAATATTTAGTACTACCAATTTCATTGTTACACACCGAGCTTAGAGCAATATTACAAAGAATTCTCATAACACTGTATAACTATTCAAAAGATATTATGATATCACAATAAGATTCTGTCCACTTTTATTACAAGGCTCAGAAGGGTAGGTAAATTCAACTATTTTTCTAATTTTTTGTAATTTTAATTTCTAATATAGTTTTGTGTTTTCTTGGCTTAAAGCTGTCAAACAAATGCTGTCTCCGGCGAAAATCCTTTGGACATTTCTTTTTTGTTTGAGTGATTCAGTGCCCCAGCTACTAGAGCAGTAAGCTTCAGCATCCTTTGGCACTAGGTATAATTCATGCGTTTGGGCTGCGATCCATGCTAGGTAGACGTAAAACATGACAAAATAAATCAAAATCAGTATTGTTCATAGTAGCTTCAAAGAGCTATTTTCCCTCGTATAGCCTATCTTCTTCCCACGGACAACTGAGGAAACTTCAAGACTGTATGCGTCACATTTTGTGACAGATATTCATACTAGTATTTTGAGTTATTTACTTCAGGGGCCCTTCCTCGTGTTGGAAATGGAGACACGGAGTGTTTTGGACGTTTAGGCCCTCCGTTTTGTCAAGGTTCTCAACACAATCTCGTGTGTTCTAAAAGGATTGGAATATGTAATACAGTAGCGATTCAGGCTACCTAATGGATACATGAGCAGTTGTATGGCCAGGGCATAAGGATTTTGTTGAGATTTTTTATGCCTAAATGACGCCGTAATCGTTTATGTTACAACTTACGCTCTTTGTTGCTTGTACTTGTATGTATGGCACAAATCTCTCACTCATTTAATATTAATCCGAAAAAGCACTCTTTTAGTCAAATTCTTCTTTCATTTGAGAAATGTTGTGCTCATGTCGATGCGCGATATTTCCAACACTTCGTTAAAGATGAGAGTCGAGGCCGATGTGTTCCTATTTCATCTGAATTATGGTACGACATTGGGCCCTGGTGATATTTCGTTGGGTTTTGGAGGGTGTGCTTCTATAGTTAATCCCTTTCTACTTAATCTATTGTTGGTCATTAGAACACGACACTCAGTGTCAATCATAATATATTGAACAGATCAAATATATAATGACATTAAATTTTTGCATGCAAGCTGGCTTATAGCAGTCCCCGACAGTCATAGATTTAGTACTGACTTCAATTTAATTCAATTTTATTCTTGTTGCTCATGATATTTACCGCTTTCCAATGTTCTGGGTCTGCTGACGCTCGATGACAGCTCAGCTGCTCTTTCTTGAAACATGTCTAAGAACGTTTCCACTTTTAAATGCTGCTATCTTATCAGTTTTTCTTGTAATCTTCACCTCCTCGTTTTCAGAAATTTGGTCTATCCGGCAATATCTCGGCTCCGATTCTTAGCGTGATGATTATCGCTCTCGCTCTCGCTATGTGTTTTGTTTTATTACATGCAGACATTATTTTGTGCTTGATAGGCTATCCCTCTGATATTCACTCCATTTTAGAATTGGTCATACTGAACATTAATTACATTCCGAAAATTCCAGTCGGGCAGATCACTTCCACTTACAGCTAAGCATTACATAGTTTAAAACAGTTTTTCTAACCCAATCTTCCTGTAAATATCGCCCTGTTTATGAGAACTTGTCGTAATCCAGAAAATTTGTCCGATTTGAATCTCGTCCAAAAAAAATCAAGCAGATGCATGTCGACAAGTAGGGAACATCTCAAATATGAGGTTCATGAAGTCCTCAAATTATACCACTAAAGCTCACAATTTTCAGGGATCGAAATCTCAAGCAATCATTGCCGGGGCTACTGCCGGCTTGGTAGCAAGGTACGAAAGCCATTGATTTTCTTAATAAATGCCAACTCGCATAGATTTTTCGTGGCACCTCTAGACGTTGTGAAGATAAGACTTCAATTGCAATCGCATTCTGCTAACAGTCAGTCCAATCGGAGCATTAATGACACCAACTTATACCAGCGAACATTACCTACTTTTAAGCATATTATTAGATCAGAAGGAATTTCGGGTCTTTGGAAAGGCAATATTGCAGCAGAGTGGATGTACGTCACATACAGCGCTATACAATTTACTACCTATCGAGCCATTTCCCTAAGTTTACGTTCAACTTTCAATTATTACCGGATACCAAATACTGCAGAGAGCTTTGTTGCTGGAGCAGGCGCAGGCGCCGTAGCGACAACTGTGACTTACCCATTAGATTTGCTGCGCACGCGATTTGCTGCGCAAGGAATAGATAAAGTTTATCTTTCTTTATCTCACTCAATACGTGAGATATACAAATGCGAGGGGCAACGCGGCTTTTTTCAAGGACTGGGAGTCGGTGTAAGCCAAATAATTCCATACATGGGAATATTCTTTGCAGCATATGAGTCACTTCGTTTACCATTAATGAACCTAAATCTACCGTTTAGTACAGGGGATGGTGTAGCTGGTATTATCTCTTCGGTCCTTGCCAAAACTGCCGTTTTCCCACTCGACTTAATAAGAAAGCGCTTTCAAGTCCAGGGACCTACAAGACTAAAATATGTTCACAAAAATATTCCAATTTGCAGTGGCACATTAAACACGCTACGAATTATCCTAATGACCGAAGGAGTAAAGGGCCTCTATCGAGGACTAACAATAAGGCAAGTTACCAAAGAGAGCTTTCCAGACCTAAACTTACTTTTCAAAAAGCCTACTCAAAGCAGCACCTACCGGTGCAATCACAATATGGACTTATGAAAGAGTCCTTAGACTTCTTGTAGAAATAGAGGCGACAGCAGCTAGTAATTAGTATCTTTCTGGGAGATGTATTGCAAATTTTATGATGATTTTCTGTCATCTATAATAGTTAAATTTTTCTACTGACTGACCTGTATAATTCTATAAGACAACCATCATTTTTTGATAAGTAGCTTTATTCGTGGAGATCACTTACTAGAATTCAGTTCATTAAATTGTATCGACGAACTTATTACAGTATATTGCGGGAGAAAATTCTCCATTTAAACCTCATTACACGTTCCCCTGCGAACAAAGACAGAATGTTGCGAACTATGCATATCCGAAAATTATTACCAGAAAAGGAGATTTCGCGAATAAACATAACTGCGACGAACGTTTGTTCTAGAGACTTAATACAGGTGATAATGTTTGCGTGACCTATGTAATATTTTCATGTCTATTAATCGGAAGTGTAAACGCTATCGGCCCAAAATCTTACGATGGTTAGATCATTAAGATTCCCGTCATAGGTTCAATCAGAGAGAGGGGGTCTATTTTCGACACCTGACAATGGTGTTCTCTACGAACATCCAGCTTTCACTGAAGGATCTGCAGAGCCGGGATTGAGTACCAACGTCCTCACTCTGACTAGGATTCCCAATTGCTCTCGCGGTCCATATCGTCTTCATCTCTCAACACATTCCCCTATCACCATTATCATGAAGCTAACCACGAATAGATCAGAAATAAGGGCCGAAGTCCTACTCATCACCCTCCCTTGGTCAAGGAGGAAACGCCATCCGATAAGTTTCCGGAGCGTATCCAGCACCCGATACGGAGATGATGGATTAGATCAAGACGGTGTGGGTTTCGATCGATCACAATTGAAACAGGATGGTGACAAATATTGTTGAAGCTTTGTCGTGGAGTGATAGATATGAGAGTGAGGTTTATGGGTCACGATGTATGAGATAACTGAGGTGCGGATGTATGAGTTCCTTACTATTGTTGTTGTACTAGTTGGGGTTGTATTGTCTATATACAAAAAGGATTTCTCCATCTACAAGTGGGCCAGATCGCTTAGATCTGGCTAGCGGCTTTCGCCATCCTCTTCCTTCTCCCCCGCATGGCATCACGTGCTATATAACTACTGCTCACCATGAATTCCGAGGATGAAAAGCGTTAGATTACAACAAATATAACTCGTGGCTCTACTACAGCTAGTTCCGCAGAATGCAATAGTTAAGCTTGAGTTCTAATAAATTTGTCTATGTTACATTACGTAGCCTGCTACGTTTAGGATCCACAAATCATCCTCCTTCTCCAACTGAGCTGTCCACAGCTCACCAAAGTTTATTACTCAACATTACGACCCTCCACAGTCCTTCAAGTTCCTACGATCCTGCTCTAACATTCTTTTACTCCCGTACCATAAGCTTTTCGCTGAGTGGCCTTCACGAACGTATGCTGGGAATAAATTAGTACCATTGTAACAGTTGCTTAACTTAAATGCTCCTGGGGAGATCAATGAGTAGGTGTTATTAACATGACATGCTGCGATCGCCCAGGATCCATCATAGTAAGGTTCAAATTTATGCTTCTTTTGACGGACTCGCAAGACCCAATTTCCCGGGGCGTAAATTCTCGAAATGGCTTTCTTTTCTTGGAGGTATGCTCGGGTCTTGTCGCGGATTGCTTTCATGCTGGCCATGTAGGAGCGAGCGATAGGTGCAGCGTGATATCTAAGCAGCTCTTCTGTCCAGTCACGTTCCTCTTGTAGCGTTGGTTCTCGGACATATTCCGTATATGCTTGTTCCTCCTTTGAAGGTTGTGTTCCGAAGAGCAAGAAGAATAGGCTGTAGCCGTTGAGAAATATACGTCGGTTGAATATGGAAACAGCGCGAGAGAGTGCGTTGACAAGTTTCATTCCCGGGGCATCGAGAAGAGTTCTTGCAAGAATGGCCTTTAAGATGCCGTTGGCCTATCCTACCCTCCCATTAATCTGTGGTTGGATAGGTGTCGACTGCGTGAATGAGAGATTATGACTGTGCTGGAACTGTTGTGCTTCCACTACAGTGAAACACAGGGCATTGTCACTGATTATTTGACGCGGGGTACCTAAAATGCTCATGATGTACATGAACAGGGGAATGGTGTTCACGAAGTCTGCGTCGGGAACCGACCTCGATTCTAGCCATCCGGTGGCGTATTCAATCACATGAAGAAGGATTTGGGGTCCGATTTTTGTGTGGTCGATTCCCCAACGTGTCAGCGGTAGTGAAGTCTTTATTGGAATTAGGTTACCCAAAGCTGGATCTGGGGGTTTCATCAATTGGCAAGAATGACAATTAATGATTGCTTCGTATGCTGCTAACATTAATTCTGGGTGCCAGTATCTCCGTTTGGTTTCGCGCATTGTTGTGCCAATGGATGCATTAGGACTTGCCAGAATCTATTTTCTAGGTCTATGAACGCGTAGAATTTATGTCCCGCAGCTCGCTGTATTTCGTCCTGAGCATTTGGGAGTGGGTGCGCGTTTTTCTTGGTGAACTTGTTGAGTTCTCTGTAGTCCACACATATTCTCCAGATTTGTTCGTTTGTCTTGGATGGTGTCTTTTTGGGTGTGAGGTGCAATGATGCTGCCCACGGGCTTTGACTTTTCTGTATGATTCTTCCCACGTGATTTTTGCAAGAATCCCGGATTGCTTGTAACTGATGTGGGCTATAGCGCCTTGGAGCAAGCTTAATTGGCTGACAGTCACCCGTATTTATGACGTGTTGTGTCTTGTACAGAAGGTCGGTTTTTCGAAGAGATTTATTAAAAATGGAAGGAAAGTCTTGAATATAAGAGCTGGGAAAAGGAAATACGTTAGCTGGCGTTGACTTGTGCCACTTTGGCGTGAGTGGGATGTAATTGGTCGTAAAAACACCATGGATAATATCTGAATTAAAGAGAGGGAAAAGAGTTGGAGATGACTGTAGGTTGGAAAGTTGAATGGTTCTGTCTAAAAGAAAATGAAATCTGAGAGCGTGAAAAACCGTTTGGCCCAAGGTAAGGTCGGCGGGAAATGTATTATCAGGGACGACTCCAGCAGAAAATGTTACTGATTCGGTCCATTTGGTATGATTATCACTGCTTTAAATGTGGAATTGTACTGTTATTATGGCATCTTTGGTAACGTTAGGTCCCATTCCACCAATTCCTGAAATCGTAGAAATGAATGAGGTATTATAAAAATTAAGTCGGGTGGCCAAGGAGTTGGAAACAAAATAAGTGGAAGATTCATTATTGAAGCTATCCTCATTGACCAAGCCGAATAAGGTAGCATTGACTGAACCATGCAGATTTGCATTAGGTATAATTTTTCCAGGGTGTCATCACTAGCGAGCCACAGTTTCCAGTCGTTTGGGAAAAGCGCCTTGTTTCTTTCGGTCGCGTCACGAAGAGGGCCATTGGGGTTCCCGGCTTCCTTAGGTGTGAAAAAATCTGGAAAAAATCTTTTCACTCGCATTTCTTGATCGCTGAAACCTGAGGTTTGAGGATTTATGGATTGATATAGGTTTATTGTTCCGTTGGCAAGGAACTTGTTGCTGACAGCAGTTGGTGGGGCTTTGAAGAACTGAGTTTGAGTCGAAGATGAATTGTCGTAGCGTCGACTTTCGGTTCGGGTGGAAGGTGGGAACTCGCCCTAGACTTTCGGTATTAGTGGCTCTGGTTGGGGATCGAAACTTGTCGTCTCTGTTTGCCCGTGTCTAACGGTGGGGCTTCTTGTGTCGGCGTAGTTGTAGGACGTAGACTGTTAGCTAAATTCTCGTTAGTCTTGGCGTTTGCTATGATAGAAAGTTGTTGCAAGATATGTGAGAGTGCATCGTCAGCTTTGTCCGTCCTGTACAGGAGCTCACTATAAGTCAATTTAGTTTTTTCGGTCAGTTCTTGGATTGAATTTTCCGTCCTTTCCGCTTGCTTCTCCAAGTCCTTGCTCAATTTTTGGAAGCGCTTTGTCGTGTCTTCCTGAAATGCCACCAGGTTGGCGGTGGCTTTCTTCAACTTGGATTCGAGCTCCAAGTTTATGAGGCCTACCATTATGATGTGAAATGGAAGTGAATATTAATGGCGCTTTTTTTTAATTGAGATTTTCTCTACAAAAATATATATTTTTATGTGTTTCGATCGATCATAATTGAAATAGGATGGTGACAAATATAACACGTGGCTCTACTACAGCTAGTTCCACAGAATGCAATGGTTAAGCTTGAGTTCTAATAAATTTGTCTATGTTACATTACGTAGCCAGCTACGTTTAAGATCCACAACGGCCTAGAATGTTACAAAGAAGGGAGATAGGGATGATTATGCGCAAATCATGTGGTCCAGGTATCTAGGCCTGGCCTGGCTGGGACTGCAGGTTTTTGGAGACTTTCTCCCGCGCACGCAGTTTCCATTGCTACCTTTTTTTTTTAAGTAGAAGGTTCCGTGGAAAAGGTGGCTGAATTCCGCGGGTAAATACTGAGCTGAATGGCTTTTCATCACGGGCAATATATCAACGATCGTACAAGTAACAAAAGGGGGAAGGAGTACTGTATAAGGAGTGGCCTGGGTCATAGAGGAGCCCAATCTGCTAGATTGTTTATGACTCAAGTAGTACGATAAATACACTCACTGCCACATTTCTGTTGGATCTGGACCTGATCGCTCTGATTGGTTCGAAGTGTAGGCCTTCAAGCACTGATGTTGATCGCACTAGGGCCTTTGCACCTGCATGGGATTGCTCTCTTTTTTTTTTTTTTTTTTTTAATCATAGTGTATTCAGCTATCTAGCTATGACACATTTATAACTCCTAATTCTAAGCCGCCCCTCCTCAAAAATTAAAATAATAATAAGATACATTCCATTCATCCCAAATACATGATTTCCCAATAATATGTCCTAATTTAACTCCCTTTATGTGCTGCCATGCACTTGGATGTATCCATATATTGTAGTAGTGCCTCCTTCCCCCTTTTTGTCCGAAATAGGGTAGGAAGTGACCTTGGCTCTATGCCCTTGAAGCATTTGTTTCTTTGATCTTTGAATTGCATGTAGGTGGGATTGCTCTCTCTGTATGTATATACCGTGATGCCACGGTGTCAAGTTTGCAATGGGGCTTTGGCAGGGGTTTTAGCTTGTAAACTAACACTCCTTAGGCATTGTTACCTTCCATATTGGAGTTAGCTCCCGTATTTGTGCAAATTTTTGAAATATTTTGTATGACAGTTTTTATATGGACACCATAGTGTGCAGTGGGTCTTTCCTTCGTACTAAACCTAATTTGCATAATAATTGGCTGCATAACATTTGTGCATTTTTGCTACATGACTTAATAACTTATTTACAAGAGTTCAAAGGTTTTCAAATTACAAAATAGAGCCAGTCTTATCCTAACCTTAGATCTGAACATGTGGCTGGAATATTTTCAGGCCTTACTATCTGGTCGGTCCCCCAACTGCATCTACCACAGCCTGACATCTTGCTGGCATACTCTGAATGAGTCTCACAAGATCTTCGGAAGACACAGAATCCCATGCCTCCTTTACAATGTTGCGAAGACTATCTTGAGTTCGCTGCTTTCCGCAACCCAGATTCGGATGATGACGCTGATTGTAATCCTTCATCTTATTCCAAACAGCTTCAATCGGTTTAAGATCAGGCGAGTTGGCCGGCCAGAAAATCAGTTGAATGAGCCTCTGGCTCATATCTCCCATTGTAATTGCGGCTGTGTGGGCAGGAGCAATATCCTGCATTACGGAAAGCCAAGATCTCATCGAGACCATGCCATCGATAAGAGGAACTATCTTCTCACAATATTTTTGTGAGTTAATGGAACCCAATTCCTTCTCCCAAAACAAACAAGGGCCTTTTTCTGGCCCTACGAAGCAACCCCAGAACATCCATCCGACCCTATTCTTCGATTTTTCTCCAACACAATCAGCGTTGTATTCTTGGAAAGTCTAGCTCATAATGTTAGAGCATCAAATTACCATCTTCTTATTGAGGAATGTACGAACACTTCTTGTCACCCATTCTCTAGAATGTCTTCAATCCTCTACCCAAGTTTCATCTGTCCATAAAACTGACGTCCAGTCTTCATATGTCCAATTGAGATGAGCTTCGGCCAATTCTCTACGTGTCTTCATAGTTTTCTGAGATACTGGAGGCTTTAGATGAGCCACATGTCGCTGGTATCCTTTTTTTTAAGTTCTCTTTATATTACTCGCTCACTAACACCAAGATGTCTAAAGGGGCCAGAGGCGAGTTCCAGAAATGTTTTGCGGCGGTTTCCAGGTGAAGACTCAACGTAAGATATAATCTGATCAACATCATCTGCTTTGAGCCTTGAGGATGTTCTGTTTCTCTTTTTAGGGGAGACAGTTCTGCGGCGCAGTGAATAGCTAACTTGTCCCCGAGAAACGCCTAGTTGCGCGGCAATCTGCGTCTGGTTTTTGCCAGATTCATGAAGCCCATTAATCTTAATTTTTCTTTTAATTTATATTTGTTCATATCTAATTTTTCTACTTACTAAAATTTTTTGATCCCTGAATAATTGTTTGATTCGAGATGTTGAAGGTGGGGTTTGAGGTGGATTCATCTGTAAAATAAGGTTATTATCGAGTAAAGCCATGTGTCTTCTGAATAAATAACTTTGTATTTGAGAAATCTAATTCTTATTGTAACTCAAGCACAAGGTTTTGTTTTGTTTTTTGTTGTTTTGTTCATTAACGTGCTAGGTTACATGACTACCGTTGCACTCCTATTGGAGCTTAAGCACGTGTGGGGTTGGGCCGGACCAGGTTAACTACCGTGAAGTACAGATAAACTTCGTCCCACTTTAATGACCGGACCACCTCAGACTTCACCCATGTGTTGAATCATACCAAGCCTAACCGTCCAGAAACCCGCTGTATACACGCCGTAGCGCAATTCTTCCTCAGCCTCGGCCACCATGCGCCCGAGCCCTTGACATCCTCATTGACTCCGAAATATAAATGCCGTCCAAGATCTCATCGTTGCTCTAGCCTTGCACCTTCATATCGTACCATTGGGTTGTTTTCGTCATTGGGGATTTGTGTAATCCCCTCGGTGCATCTTCCCTCTTCTTCCTCCTTTGTACACGTCCCGTTTCCATCATGACTTTCCTCATTAAGGCGTGTGTAGGTAGGTGATCGGACGGGTATGGAGGTAGGTCGCAGGTATAGGATCGATTGAGAAATGCTTCGTCGCAAGTATAAAAGGAGTTTAAGAGATGTCGGATGTTTGAGTACGACCCCCAGATAGGCCTAGGCCCATTCGTGAATCGTATGTTGGTGGTGATGACTTTTTGTTCGACGTTGTTCCTGCTGTGAAATCTCTGCCGACTGATTTTTCGACCAAAATATCGCGTGCAACTCCTTCAAGTCGAAAATCCATCAATTAAAAGTCATCCTACCCTTTTTTGTGACTGAATCTCGGCTCTGTGAGAATATTTCACTTCCAGGTTCGTAGAGGACACCACTGACAGGTGTTCAGCCTTAGTCCTCCAGGTGCCAAATGTGCTGAGACGGCCTGTCACCTAGGTGAGCCTAACACGTCATAAATAGCTAATTGATAAGCGATCGCCCAAATAGAAGCAATACTCTATACTGAAGGTGGTAGAATCTGGCAGGTAGTAATACTTATTGAACATGACAATAAATATCATTTAAAAATCATTCGTAAGGTACATTACGAGAAGCAGATGTAAATGTACTTAATTTTCGCACTATATAAATTTGCACTATTCAAAGCGACACTTCTCGTGTTCGAAATTCGATTTTGGCCATTAGAACAGGAAGAATTCATAAGTTGGTCGGGTGAAAATTACGCCATAACATAATTTTTGGCTCCTATCAGTCGACATAGATTTACCGACATTGATATTTCAAATATTTATCCGTACATAACAATTTCGTATCAAATGTCAATTGAACGTCATGATCTCTGCCTTTACTGCCTGTCCAATCATCGAGCTCAAAGCAAAAGACAAATCTAAGATTGAATCAATTTTAGCCTACGGTATGTCTCTCACTTCAGTTTTACCAGGTGCTTACATTGAGATACAGGCGATCGATTGATAGTAGGATTGAGTACAGGAAATTTACAGATATACCGGGTAAATGAGACCGAAGATAATCATGATCCGAAGGAGGGGACAAAGTCGAATTCTGATTCCAGATCCGTTCATCTTCTCAGAGAAGTTGAAAAGTTTTCCACGAGATCAATTGAACAGCTAGCATTAATAAAGGAATCAAATGTTCTCATCTCAATGTCAAATTCTTATGTTTCAATTCATGACCTACATTCATGTACCCTCCTAGAACACTTAATTAGGACAAAAGGCGCTTCTAACTTCGCAATCACATCAAATATTGTCAAGGATTCCGCTACGGGGATTCCAGAAATAATATCGCGACTAGCAGTCTCCGTGAAAAGAAAATTGTTGCTTTGGTCTTGGCATGAGTCTGAACTTGAACAATCTGTATCTGAATTTACGCTGGCAGAACCCATTCGCAAGCTTACATGGGTAGCTGCGGACAAGATAATTTGCGGTTTGAACTCCAGATTTGTACTTGTAGATATCCTAACAGGAGATTCTCAGGATATTATTGGACCTGGAGTATCTGGAACTGCTACCGTCTCCAGTGGAAGGTTTAGTGCCGTTGGATCCGCAAGTATGGGCTACATCGGCCTAGGAGGATATACATCGAAGCCGTTGGTAGCAAAATTAAAAGATGGCGAGATCCTGCTTACTAGAGATACAAGTTCTGTTTTCATCGCATGCGATGGGAAAGCAGCAGAGAAGAAGCATATTCAATGGCATCAAGTCCCAGAGGCTATTGGATATTCGTATCCATACATACTGGCTCTGCAACCACCCGCAAATGGTACATTAGAGGTACGAAATCCTGAAACGCTTTCACTTTTACAGTCAATATGCCTACCAAACGCACGACAACTTCATTTCCCACCCCCAACTGTAAGCTTAGCACACGCAGGAAAAGGATTTCATGTTGCCAGTGAGAGGTGTATCTGGCGGATGGGATCTACAGACTATAATCACCAAGTCAATGAACTTGTTCAGAGTGAAAATTATGACGAGGCTATAAGCTTGCTTAATATGCTAGAAAGTGCATTATTATGCAATAAAGAGCTACGCCTAAGAGAGGTCAAGATTCAAAAGGCTCAAAGTTTATTCGATAAAAAAAGATATCAAGACGCGCTGGATATATTCATGGCACAGGACGTCCAGGCATCCCCAGAAAGCGTTATCCAGTTATTTCCGCCTATTATTTCTGGTACTCCTGCAATTTCTAAAAAATCAGGAATTGGCCAAATTAGTGAAACAAACCAACAGGATAGCTCTTCGAGCAGAGACAATAATGATCACAAGGACCAAGGCTGCAAACAGGAGAATACAAATGATACGAATTTAGTAGTAGCAGGGAAATTTGGTGATATCCAACCTAAATTGCCTTCGGATATAACTACAGCTAGCTCGGGTATACGATCAACTGAGACAGACTCTATTGACGCGACAAGTCTTAAAGTTAGGCCAATGGAAACATCAATGGAGGGAAAGGACCTTCAGACGGCTGTCCTAGCACTAATTGGGTTTCTTGTTCAGGCTCGAAATAGGATGAAAGCTTTTTTAGACGCAGAAACCAAGAAGATAAAAAATCCGGGATTCGAAACATCTGATAGCTCTACAAACTACTTAAACAACTCGTTCCTCGTATTCTCCGGCTCTGAGGACATATATGATACGGAAAGAAAACTTCTTGAGACAGCTAAACTAATTGACACCACATTATTCAGATCATACATGCTTGTCAGGCCACAATTGGCAGGATCTCTTTTTCGAATCCCAAATTTTTGCGACCCAGATGTTGTGAATGAAAAGCTATTTGAGAGTGGTCGCTATAATGACCTTGTAGAATTTTTCTATGGCAAGAAATTACATCGTTCAGCACTTGAGCTTCTCAAGCGGCTCTCAGGTTCCGATATCGATGACGTTACAGTGTCAGAGACACTACGAGCTCCGCACCGCACTGTTGGCTATTTGCAAAACCTGGGGCCTGATATGATTGACTTAATTCTTGAATTTGCTGAATGGCCATTGCGTGCCGACCCAGATCTTGGGATGGAAATATTCACTACAGATACCGAAAATGCAGAGACTCTCCCAAGGGACAAAGTGTTATCATTTTTTGAAAGTAAAGACAATAAACTCACAACTCGATACCTAGAGTATATAATCAACGAGCTAAACGATACAACACAAGAATTTCATAACAAACTCATCGCAACATATTTAGAGGAGCTAACCAAAATTGGACCTGGAATGAGACGTAAAAATGAAGAGTGGAAGCAATTAATGGATCGGCTAGTAGGTTTTATGAAGAAAAGTTGTCAATATTCGCTTGGAAAGGCTTTTAGCATGATACCCAAAGATGGTAAGTTAGCTTCAGGCTTATTTGTTGGTTTGAAATAGAGGGCTAATCTAATTACAGATTCTGACTTCTATGATGCCCAAGCAGTTGTATTGAGTAATATGGGACAACATAAACAAGCGCTTGAACTATACGTTTTTAAGATCAAAGATTATAATAAAGCTGAGGAGTAAAAAGAGTATATTAATTTCAGTACATAAATGCTAATTTTTATAGGTATTGCAATCAAATATACCTAGCCCCTGATAGCAAAGGGAATAACAAAACAACAAGTATCGCACCCTTTAAATACTCCAAATCTTACGAGGACAATGACACTTCTTTACAATCAATCTATCACACCCTTCTTTCTCTCTATCTCACTCCACCGCCTCCGAATAAGCCTAATCTCGCACCAGCTCTACTTCTTCTGGCAAATCATGGACCACGCCTTCCTGCTTTTAGTACATTACCCCTGATCCCAGCTCCACTTCCACTCGCTTCGCTTGAATCATACTTTAAAGGACGTCTTCGTGTTGTCAACAGCCGGGTGAATGAGAGTCGAATAATTTCTGGGCTCTGTAAGGCAGAAGCAATTGATGTGCAGTTTAATCTACTTTTAGGAAGTGGCGAGTCAGTGAAAAATCATGAGTTGCTTTCTTCGGGGCCGTCAGGAAATGGTGGCCGAAACCGGAGGGCTATTGTAAGCGAAGACCATATTTGTCGTGCCTGTCATAAGCGTATAGGCAACAGTGTCATTGCTATACTAGCTGATAATGCAGTGGTGCATTATGGCTGCCTTCACAAGTTGACAGGTGTATCTGGTACTAATAGCGCTGCTATGACTGGATTATCAACCAAATTTGCTGGTAAGAGATAGACCTGAACCCAGTATTATTCACAGCTTGTGCATTTCGTGTCTGTACTTCAATCAAACAAATAATTGGGAGAAAACTCCGTAATGAGAGCCTGCTATTCCTAGTAATTCGATAGTATTAGTATTAAAATATCAATTACTGAAAATACCTCTGTGCTTGCATAAGTACGGATCCAGTCCGAAAGCAAAGTAAGAACTGCGTGCTAACATATCGTGATAGTGATGATGCTCAGGAGCATGATTAGGGGGATAATTGGACATTACAGTGCTATGATCGAGTCGTAAAATGAAGTAATCTGTCTTGATTTTGATTAAATTTTACCATCGTGCCTGGGGGGACTATTCTCAACGCCTGTCAGTGGTGTCCCCTACGAACCTCCAGCTCTCACTGTAGAGTCTGCAGAGCCGAGATTGAGTACCAACGTCCTCACTGCGACGAGGATTCCCAATCGCTCTCGCGGTCCACACCGTCTTCATCTCTCTACACATTCCCCTATCACCATTATCATGAAGCTAACCACGATCAGATCAGATATCAGGGCCGAAGTCCTACTCATCTTCCACCCTTGATCACGGAGGAAAAGTCATCCGATGGGTTCCCGGAGCGTATCTAGCACCCGATACGGAGATGATGGATTAGATCAAGACGGCATCGAATGTTACAAAGAAGGGAGATAGGGATGAATGTGCGCACCTCATGTGGTCCAGGTATCTAGGCCTGGCCTGGCTGGGACTGCAGGTTTTTGGAGACTTTCTCCCGCGCACGCAGTTTCCATTACTACCATTTTTATTTTTAAGTAGAAGGTTCCGTGGGAAAGGTGGCTGAATTCCATGGGTAAATACTGAGCTGGATGGTTATTCATCACGGATAATATATCAAAGATCGTTCAAGTAATACAAGAGGATAGGAGCAATGTACGAGGTGTGGTCTGAGTCAGAGAGGAGCCCAATGTGCTAGATAGTCATAGACTCAAGTAGTACAATAAACACACTCTCACTTACTCAATTAGATAGCTATATGTTTCTGCTAGGAGGGCAAGACGGAACACCTATACGCGGTGTCCTCTACGAACCTGGGAGTGAAATGTTCTCCCAGAGCCAAATTCAGTCAAATTTCGCAATATCAAGGGGGACTATTCTCAACACCTGTCAGTGGTGTCCCCTACGAACCTCCAGCTCTCACTGTAGAGTCTGCAGAGCCGAGATTGAGTAACAAAGTCCTCACTTCGAAGAGGATTCCCAATCGCTTTCGCGGTCTGTATCGTCTTCATCTCTCAACACATTCCCCTATCACCACTATCATGAAGCTAACCACGATCAGATCAGATGGTAGGGTCGGAGCCCTACTCATCACCCACCCTTGATCATGGAGGAAAAGCCATCCGATGAGTTTCCGGAGCGTACCCAGCACCCGATACGGAGATGGTGGATTGGATCAAGTCGACCTCGGCTATTACAAAGAAGGGAGATATAGATGAATATGCGCACCTCATGTGGTCCCGGTGTCTAGGCCTCGCCTGGCTGGGGCTGCAGGTTTTTTTGAGACTTTTTCCCGCGCACGCAGTTTCCATTGCTACCATTTTTTTTTTTTTTTGGGTAGAAGGTTCCGTGGAAAAGGTGGCTGAATTCCACGGGTAAATACTGAGCTGAATGGCTATTCATCAAGGGGAATATATCAATGATCTTTCAAGTAACAAAAGAGGATAGGAGCACTGTACAAGGTGTGGCCTGGGTCAGAGAGGAGCCCAATGTGCTAGATAGTCATAGACTCAAGTTGTACAATAAAACACACACACACTTCGCAATATCAAAGAAGTTGGCCCACGAGGCAAAATTTAAAATTACTCCTCCACCTCGTCTTTTCGCTCCCAACGAGTTTGACTCCTATCTTCGTCTCATCAAGTTCACAAGGACGACCAAGTACATCCTCATCCCTATGACCACACCTCTCTTCGACCTTCTCTGGCCTCAGTTGACCACCAAATACACGCCCACGCCGATATTTACACCCGACGGAAGAAGCAAAGCGTGGCGCACAAATCTGGGAGACAGCTCTCTGGGATGGACGTGGGAGGTATTAGGATAAGTTGAAAAGATGATGTAATGGAAGCATATGACCTCGAAGGGCGCGAAATTTCGAATGTTCCAAAGGAGTTTTACGAATTGGGCTTTGTGCGCGCCAAGACTTCGGTTGCGAGAGTGCAGCTGATATTATAAACACAAGTCAACGATGTAAGGTGTTGTGGTCCGCCTCCTGGTAGAGTTCTCCGGTATAGTTTGAGTAGCCTGGGCTCCCACTCCACTTGGAAAGGAGACATCTCAGATTACATTTCGCGCGGAGAAAAGTTGATGGATGATGGAGGCATGTCTGGATAACTCAGGGTTTTTGAGATGTTCCCCTAGGTGGGTATTCACGGATGAGGGTTGACTTGGGGTGAAGAAAAAGCACCCATAACTTCGCAGTGGTACTTGCAAATGAAATATGAGGCATGAGTGCTCTTCCCTTACGTTGAATCATCTATTATTTACTTTTCTTTGATATTGTGTCATAGCTAGATAGCTGCGTACGCAATTAAAATCTGATGCCAAAAAAAAAAAGTTTCTGCTAGGTTCTCTCCTTTGTAAATTGAAAATCTCGAGACACCTGCATAGACCTATGGGGCGCCAAATCAGAATAACGAAATTAAATTCAAAAAAGTGGATAAAAATATGACACTGCAACAGCCAAAAGCCTCTGATCTTCGACCGCTATCAGCTTTGATGAGGCCTTGGCTGGTAATAATGTTAGTGGGGAAATTATTCCATCATAGATTACACCAGAAAAAGTATCTACCTAGGCTGGTAAAACCTGTTGGTGTGTAGCAGACTACATGACAAAGAATCTCAGCCCTTTTCCTCCCCAGGACGAAAGATTAAGCATTCTGGTCCTAAAACTTCCAATTTCTTATTATCACCGAAGTATCGAGTTGACGGTCGGCGTTCTTTCCCATCATTCCCAAAATTTCTCCAGAATTCTGATGCAGACAAGCTCCGATTCTCCGCGAGGAAACTTATTATCATTATGAGTATACTGAGGCAGATAGGCAACTACCTCTAGAGTGATTCAAAGGAGGTGAATAGATAATGAGGCTGTAGACATTTAAGATATGTTGAGGCTAAATCTCTACGGATCTTGACTTCATCTAGTGAGTGCGTAGTAGACGCTGCCGCTGTACATATATATTATCTTCTCTCGAGCATCACTAATCTAAGTATTTAAAGAGTTCCAATTACTTTCACATGATCTAATACAATCTTATTCCATCTTATTCTATGCCATGATGTCCTTCGGTCAGAGACCCATTAGGGTCTTTTATTAAATTTAACTAGATTATATTCTAATTATGCCATAGTATTCTATTCTAAACGTTGCAAAGGTATTATAGTGCTCTGGTATGTGCAGCGGTATTCAAGAAACTCTCGCACAATGATTGGAACACGAAAAAACTCAAGGTCAGCAATGTTGCATACGCAGGGAATTAACCAACCTTGAGCGAAAAAATAACTAAACGCTAACTTTATTGCTATACCTGTACTAGTTGGCAACAAATGCTAGTGTCCTATCCTATAACCAGGTGTTTCAGTGGCTTCTTGTTACATCAGGGTTGTGTAATTTTTCAATGATTGCATTCATTCCATGCCCATCCCTAAGCGGCTGTTATTATTGCGATTTATGCTAAACCTGGTGGTGTAGTTGATCACAGTTTGAGAGTATGCTCTGAGTTGCAATGGTGGCTTGTTATGGATGCGATTGCGACAATACAGTTGAGGGTGGTATGAAAGTTGGCACTTCAATGGGTCTCAATTGTGTGGGGATTAATTTAATCACTGATGATAATTATGTTATTGTACTATCTACAAAGAATGTGTTACAGTTCTATGTGTGCCAGTAATCGCTTAGATCTGGCTAGTGGGTTGACCACTCTTTTACTTCACTCCCATGTTCTATCACGTGAGGTAGTATAACTGCTCACCACGAAGTCCGCAGATTTGAACAGCGTTAGATCACAACACTTCCCCTCGCTTTGCACATCTGATATGATCTGAAAGTCGGTGATGTATAGATTTAACGAGAGACTTGGTGAGTAGATCGGCAAGGTTATTAGCTGATTTCACGTGGAGAAGTTCAAATTCTCCTTCGTTAAACTTCTCACGAACGTAATGATAATGTACGTCGATATGTTTTGAACGACCGTGAATCCGCGGGTTTCTTGCAAGTTCTTGGGCTCCATTGTTATCAGTGTAGAGCATTGTGTCATACTCTTGGCGCAGTTGTTTTAACCCAAATTTTGTCCAGGTAGTCTGGCGTGCAGCTAGTGACATGGCCATATATTCGGCTTCTGTAGTTGATAATGCCACAGATCGCTGTTGTTTGCTGCTCCATGATATTGCAGCATTGCCTAGGCGAATTACATATCCTGATGTGGATCTTCGAGTATGAGGATCGTCAGCATAGGATGCGTCGGCATACACCTCGAGTACCCTGCTGGTTCCATGCGGGTAAAACAAATCCCAATCGGTTGTTCCAGCTAGATATCGAAGAGTTCGTTTGGCGGCTCGCAAATGACTTTCGTTTGGGCAAGATGAAAACTGGCTTAAGAGTGTGACAGTGTAGGCTAGATCAGGGCGACTCCCTATGACAAGATACATAAGGGATCCAACTATGGCTTGATATTCTTTTATATTTCCGAGACGTTCCTCTTCAGTGCCTTTGAAAAGGGTGACGTTTGGATCGAGAGGAGTACTTACTTTGTGAGCAAGTGTAAGGCCAAAGCGTTCTAGAATCTTCTTTGAGTAACCTTGTTGAGAGAGTCGGATACCTGTTTTTTCTAGTTTAATCTGTAGTCCAAGGATATAATGAGCATTTCCTAAGTCCTTGCAATCAAAATCTTTTCCGATACATGACTTGAGGTTTTGGCTAAATTTATTATCTGAACAAAAGATTAGTATGTCGTCAACGTATA